AAGCGAACCTGTCAGGCCAGGCTTAGAAGTGCTGCCACAGCAACCAGAGTTTCCTCACCTTTTGAGCAGGCATACCAGCTGGAAACGACCTTTCTCTGAGTAAACGTTATGTATACAAAAAAAAATTACTCACAAATCAACCTGCCTGTACAAACATGCTCTTTCTCCACAGGGGTTTCCAACACAAGAAACAATAAATTGCAACACCATTGCTTGCTCTACATGGGCATTACATAGTTTACAACAAAGAATTAAAAAAACTAACTCAATACATCACTCCTAGCAACAACATGCTAACAAAAGGTCATTTGTGATTTAAGCTTGATTTAGTAATTGGCTACACTTACAGACACTTTATAAGACCAGCTGTTTGTTAAAAACAAATCTGCACAAGGATTACATCAGAAGCAACACTTGTAATTGCTAAGCTTAGCTATCGTGAACAATGATCTATTATTTGCACACTGAATGAATAATCTACCCAGCATATCTTGAGACTTTTCTTATTACAATTATTAGCAGGCAATGTCAATGCAATAATTTATATTGTCTTATTACTTGAAACTAACGGTGACAAAATACATCAACTTATTTTTTTCTTTTAGTCAGGAGACTGAGTTTTTGTTGGAGCAAAGAGCTTCTCCTCTATATATTTAATCTAATATTTGAGTTTCTGTATCCAAAGGTGATAAAATGATGTCATTCTTTTAGTCCTGTACTAGTACTTAAAACCCAAAGTCTGGTCAGATCACTGCCATGTTATCAGCCATTTACTGCTTAAGCAGTGGGAAAAAAAAACATTAATCTCCCTCAAGTCAGCTGTTGGGGGTATAAACCAACTTAAACACTAACATTTCAAAAAATAAAATCTCATCCACGTTTAAATGTCAGGGAGCAAGAAATTCTTTCTCCTTGAAAAACAGTTCTGATGACCCAATCTGTTCCTAGAGGTCCTACTTGGACCAGAACTTTTCAATTTTCTTTGACAACAAGACAAGCCTAACCCTGTGCTCATCTGTTAGCAGTGACGTAAATAATAAAAACTGATACAACACAGAAATCCATCTCTGTCAATGATTAACAGTGTTCATGGCAAGCACTTAGAAACCTAAGAAAATGTGATACAGGTATTGCAAAACACAAAGCAACGTCAGTGCAGATGGTGTCACTCCCAATGTCCAAATCTATGTATCGACATATACAGTATGTGAAGGCCTCTTTCCTTTTACTGGACTTTAAAAAAAAAAAAAAGATTCCTCTCAAGTTGTTTTTCAAAAATAGAGTTCCTTTTTACGAACACAATCCAGTTGTTTTGAAAACGAAATGCTGCTCTGCATATCTGCCTCACAGAAGACAGCTGTAACCTCACCTAGTGTGTAATTTTGGAGGACTGTTAAAAGATGATTGTCTGTAGAGAAGACCAAACAAGAGCAGGATTTCCTGAGGGTATCCAAACAGGTAATACTGCTGCACAGAAGAGTAGTTTAGTATATTAGGCAGCTTGGAAGATGACTATTAGTCACTTTCCTGTGGCAAGCTGTTGAGCATCACCCCTACACCTGTTTGTTCGGGGGGGGTTGAGCATCTCCTTACCTCATTACAGCTTTCCAATCCACATTTCAGGTGCACAGTGGAATGAGATGTTTGTGGAATGTAGTCTACCTCCTAAAGACAAACTGCAGGAAGCTAAACACAAAAGCATACGGCCCTGCAGGCTTGCAATCTTTAGGCATATTCTGAAGTAAAAGAAAAACACCACCATTGTTTAACTTCTGGAAGCTTCTTTTTGAATGGTGTATCTCATTCTTCTGATTGACCGCCTGAATGAAAGGAAGCCTTAAACACCCCCTCCCCCCCACCCCGAGCTCAGAAAGCCAACAGGAAAGCATTAAAACTACTGTGCAGCACTCAAAAGTGTGCATTACAGGCTTAAAAGCATGCTGCACTGCCCTAAACAGCCACTTCTCTTTGCAATTAATGCAACAGTGTATGTAGTCACTATCAAAACAAAGCCTTCTCTTTGATAAAACAATTCATTCGCAGTACAAGACCAGAAACTGACCAAATTAATGTAACTGACCGCTCCCTAATACGAAAACAGAACAGGAAGCTTCATTTTCCAAGATCTCAAATTGTTATTTATGTATTTTGTAGGTAAAAGCAAGTCCAAGACAAGAACATAACAAATCACATCTACAGTTTCAATGGCTGTGAGAACAAAGAAATTCCAAACAAATGAAAATTGAAGTGATAAAAGAGGCATCAAAAAACAACCGTTATGTTATATGATGACATACCGTTTCGAATGAGAACAATGCAGAAATGACAAAAACCAATAAGTTCATTTGCAATACAGTTGGATGCAATACGTTCCTAACATTTCCATCATTTTTTATTTTCTGACGGTATCATTTTCCCTCCAGGAATTACAATTTACACCTATTGGAAACTGACAGAAGAGTGGCTAGAACAGCACTAATTATGAGCACATCACAGGTTAACAGACAGATCCTTTGTAAGCTACAGGAAGGGGCTGCTCTTGCTAAAACGTTTGTTTTCACAGTTCAACGCTGGTGGCTAAATTACACAAACATTCTTTCCAGCTCCCTCTGCGATGATCTCACTGACGTTCCTCCACAGTGGCAGATGATTTATTGCCAGGGGGCTTACCTGTAAGTGTCCCGGAGCCGAGGAAAAAAGTGTCATCCATCAGAGTTCAAATACCAAATAATCATGGACAAGCAGATTCCTGCTTTGGCTGGAACAAGCCTCTATGTCATCCATGCATCTGTGAGTCTAGTTCAGGGCTTTAGAGCAAGTTGGCGTTTTTATTTTCTTGTTCTGGAAGTTTTTTTAACTCAAAAAGCATTTTGAAGATTTAACACATATAAATCACAGCCACGACTAAAACATCTACTTTGCCTGAAGAAACATATAAATAATTCTTAAAACGAGCACAAGATTCGAACTTTTATCTCCACGGACGCAACTGTCGTAATGCACAACACTTGGATAAAATGTTTAAACAAGGAGGAAGTTAAGTGCCCAAGTTGAGTTTTCTGAACTTTTCACTCCAAAGCAGAGAATAAAAGCTGTGAAAGTCTAAAAAGTTGAAAGGAGCAAAATAAATGCACAAAGAAAAAGCAACACTCATAGTGAAGATTACATAAAATGTCTGTATTTGTAGCAAGCAAAAAAAGAAAAAAGCAACGCACCTAATTCTTATGTAATACCTTACAAATAATCAGAGAGAAACTGATCATAATTAATAATAATGAGCTTGCCTTACCTAAGCAAAGGTTCGTCTTCAGAATGTCTTTACAGGAGGACACAAAGTCCACTCAGTACAGGACCATATGTGGCAGCTGACTACAGCCAGTCCCTTCAAGTGCTATGGACTTGCACAGCAATTGAAATCTCTTTGAAGTGCAACCTCATATCTGCATACCTCAAGATGATCTTCCCGTATTAGATCATCTGATCATTGAGCTACAGCTTAACTGGCCTCAAAAATAAACAACTGTTGCCTAAATCTAGAAAACCACACAGAGACTGTTTTTTCACAATATTCATCTTGCGCTGAAAAGTACAATACTGTAAATGCTGTACTGGCTCATTTATTTAAAAAGAAAAACTTCACTGTATTTGTAGAGTTTCTTCCCCCCTCAAAGACAATAATTGATTTTTTTCATCTGTACAGTGGACTGTGAATAATTACTTAGACAAGAAAATGTTTTTTTTTTTACTTTTCAGAATTAACCTCTGCTTGTTCCTTTGCAGCTAGACACTGCCAGTCCCTTGTTTTAAATTAAAAAATAATTCACAATCTAAAGCAAAATGACATTTACATAAGCAAAATTAAGCACAAGTTAAACAAAAACAAATTTGAATTCTCTTTTGAACAAAAGATTTGCTGAATTAAAAAATTACAATGATGATTTGCAAAACTGAAAGCAGACAAAATTATCAGACCACAAATAGGGAAACATCTTAAATTAGACTTAAAACACTTCTGAATGGCAGAGAAAGACTACATGAAACTACAAAAAAGGATCTGAAGTGAAAGAAATGCAAAAGAATGCTTCAACAACTGAAATTATGAAATTTCCTTTCCTTAATTTAGAAGTAGAGGCTCTCAACCACAAAATTATAAAAACCAAGAAGTACCATGAGTTTCTGACACAGCAGGCTCTTTCGAAAAAAAGCCATGAGACATCATGACAGCTACATTTTTAAAAGGCAAGAAAGATCTGCAGAGAATTTGATAAACTGCAAAAACAGGACTATGAAAATAAAACTTAAAAAAATGAAATGCAGTTGTTCAAACAAGTATAATATATATTTATTTTGGAACAGTACTTCTAGTCCTAACAGTTTAAGTTACTGAAGCTACCAGTCAGGGATGCATTAATAAAATACTGTAGAAAATATTCTACACTGTTACCTCAGCTACTAGAAATCCAACAAGATGAGCTACAAGCCTTCCTGGTTTGAGCAAGCTCTTAGTTTCTTACAGTAGTTACATGTGGAAAATGGGAGAGCTGGTTCATGTTTGTAACATAGGCTGTTATTGGGCAGCAGAGCACTTTTAGCAACAGACTGCTCTAGCTTTGGTGTTCAAGGGAATGTTTCCGCAGGTCTTTCCTCCCGGCGGCTGTCAGGGTGTATAACGCTGCCCTAGGCTAGGACTGTTAGCCCTTCATCTGCTCGTCTATAGACAGCATGTTACTCCATTGTACTTTTTGGACACTCAATCTGTATATACCTATGTACATTTTGCACATATTTTATTGTTTTTACAGTGACTATGATCATATTTTGCACACACCTATGTACTTATTTTATTTTATATTTATTTTGTATTACTGTACGTATTCTAATTTTTCGTCTATCCTGATGTCTGGTTTTTTTGGGCTTGTCTTGGGCTGCTGTAACACATCAATTTCCGTTCGGGATCAATAAAGTATTATCTATCTAATATTTAAAAGAGCTGGGCTTACCTAAAGTGTCCTTCAGGTTCTTCACGATGGAACCTTTCCTTGCGTTATTCTTCCGTTCTACGTAGTTGGAAGGCACAAAGCCCGTTTTGTTTGTTGCGTTTCGTACTCGCCACCAAGATTTGGAATCGTCCAGAAGCCAGAGCCTCTCATTCTTTTTTATGTCCAGTTCCTGGTCCTGTTGTGCAGTGTAGTCAAACTTGGCGATGACAATCACCTCTTCCGTCATCTTTGACCGGCCTCAGCACTGGAAAAGGATATAGAACATATTAAAGATAATATTTTATATTATAAATGACAATAATTAATCCATGTGAGGATAACACACCAATAATGCATCATAATAATAAGTAATTATAATAAGGAACAAGTAATAGGTTTATTCCATGCTGAAAAAAAGAAGAAAGAGAACACAACGTTTCGGCCGTGGAGCCTTCTTCAGAGATCGGAATTATAATAAGGAACAAGTAATAGGTTTATTCCATGCTGAAAAAAAGAAGAAAGAGAACACAACGTTTCGGCCGTGGAGCCTTCTTCAGGTGTCACAGTAATTATAATAATACACAAAGCACTAGAGTGCAATGCACTTACATGGCCATTAGATGGTGCTATTTGCACAAAAGTATAATTGGTTAATTAAGTCAAAAGTTAAAAGTACAAATAATACAGACTGGGCTGGTATAAACATATGTAGACTACATAAATTGCAGTTTTGAAATTGCAGTGCTCAGTGCTGAAATCTGGTAGATGTACTTGGAGTATAAACCACAACTACTTCCAGGGATATAATCTGACCAAACTAGGAAGCTATACATAATTCACAACATCTACCTGATAAAAGCAATGGTATAAAAATGAATGAAGGTTTAAGTCAGACGAACAATACATTTAGCAAGAGACACAAAATTATTCAGATGACTGTGCAACGGGATATTAAAGACGTAATTGCTGTACATAACCTCACAAATTGCATATTGTTAACTCCAACCTTTAAGTTGCAAAACCTACAAAAATGATTATTAAAGCCTCTACAACACAAATTCTGATATAAATGGGGGATTGGTACTTGATAAATTAATGCCACACAGCTCCAACACTGAAAGTACATATTGTTCCAGGTCATAAAAAAGACAAAAGGGAAAATTACATGAGATTTTTAGTGAGTCTTCACAACCTCTAGAAAGTGCTGATTTTTAATAAAATCGGTTTTAAAAAGTATAACAGTTGGACTGAGAAACAGTACAAGGAAACACGTCATCTAACATCTGGATCCCAGTACAGAAAGATACAAATATAAACTCTACAACTCAAGTCTTAAGGGCCGTGCACAACCAACTTAGTGTCTGTGGAGGTCCCCAACTTAATAGCGAACTGGGATTTAAGAAGCAAACATCAGAGCCCTTAGCCCAAACTTAATTTTATACATTTCTTTGTGAATTTTGCAGAAAGTCCTCCGAGTCCATAACAGAGTTGCTTTTAAAACACACTGATATTGCACTGCCCCCAGGAAGTCAATGTCGCTACGCTGTCCTGTCAGCAAGGGAGATCTCCCACAGCACCCATGGGTGGAGGGAGGGGGGTCTCTTCTAAACCTGAGAAGCACTTTCTCACCACACCAGGTAAGGGGGACTGATAGGGGGCAGGCTCCCTCCATCTAGGAGTGTGGGAAAAAGATCTGTTTAATTACATCTTTTGCCCTCTGTTTTGTATTCAATTTTTGTTTGTAATAAAGAGCTCTTTTCTAGTCTTGTCTGAAGTTGAAATGGACAGACGCCAGGCGCTGCACTAGGTCTGCCTTTAGGTCACTCAAAATAAACTCAAATCCCTTTAACTCTCCTTCAGTGTCTTTAACCTTCCCCATTGATTTAAAAAGCACATTTATTCATTTACAAACCCCATTCTGACGTGTATGGGAAGCCCACAAAGAAGCAATCGGATGGGGGTTCATAGGCACATTCCAGTAACTGTGATCTGGAGGCTGATATTGAAAGCTAAAGTCCAGACAGTACCAGTCTAAGTCATTACCCCACTGAGAGTCCAGGATTCCAGAAGCAGCAGTATACAGAGCACCAGCATGTCTAGCTGGTTTGGGTCCACGGTATTTCTGGCCTGTCTGTAACCATAAACACTACAGTCCTCCAGGTTTGATGTGCTGGCAGTGAGAGCTATATCAATCCTCTGCTATGGGCACTATGGAGCTTTTAATTAACATTTCAAATGGAAACTGAAACATCCCACCCTGGTGAAAGGTTACAGCAGTAACCAAACAGATTGAAAATTGGGGATTCCAAATTAACTCTTTTTCTCACAAGGTTTAATACAGCTAAATCTGCATAAACCGCGAGTAGAAACTTGAGTGCCTCTTGGGCTGACGTACAGCTAGGACTCTTTGATGTGCTCATAATTGCAGCTGGGCCTTTCAAATAAAGTCAGAAATGGTCACACCTGAATCACAAGGAGGTCAAGTATTGCTGTTAGAGCAGGGGCTGGATCCCCTTCTGAGGACAAAGCTTCAGGAGGAATAAAAATAAAACTGGCACTTTTTTTATTTTAAAAACATTGTTTACATTTTACATGTGAAATTGCTGCTTCCAGACAGAGGTTTATGAGGAAACCCACTGTGGCGCTCCAAGTGTAAAACGGTGGGGACAGCACCATCACCACCACTCATTTCCGAACCTTGCCGAAAACGAAACAGGTCTTTAACGCACTACATACATTCTTTGAAAACAACGGAGGCACCTCAGCGTTTAAAACAAATTGGTACTTGTTGTGACAGAAACATTAAACAGGATGAAAGCAAAAACAGCTTTTTCCTGGAGCTTAAACAACTCATATCAACTTTTGGTTTGCAGGTTTTGACAGGATGTTAAATTTCCAGTTTATACAGTTTACAAGCCTACAGATCATTTCCATGATTATACACTTCCAAGTATATATATTAAGCACTTCATTAGCAATCAGAATGAACTGGATATTCCCAAGGGGTTTTGTTGAAGGGTTTAATGGCTTTGCACACTTCTAAAAATAGGTTTCTTTACCACAAAAAAAACACAACCCACAATTTCGTATGACTTATGCTTTGTGAGCATCTTTTCACAACAACCATAGCTGATGGGATGTGGTATTCTTAAACAGATTTGCTATGTCCATGCCACCTTTTCATAAAGGATCAAGCATAACAATAATTCCGTTTTGTAGCTACAGATCTAAGTATTTGTATCCTGTATCACACCAAACTTCATCAAATGTAATAAATATTCTTAGTGATAATCTAACAATTCATTAGAATAGTGATATTCATTAAAGATTGCCTAACACAGGGGTTAGTTATCCTTGGCTCCTGCATTCCAAGTCTGTGCTCCAGGTAGCCCTAATCATCGAAGATGTCTCCAGCACTTGTGTTAAAAAGGAATTCACGTTCAATTAAATAATGATGCTATTATAAAACAGCACAATTAAAAGTCGTATAATGGTTGCCTATGCTTGGTGTAATGAATTAAATCATTTAATCTATAGGGTTCTCGTGCCTGCGCCTGCAGTAATGCTTATTCTTCCATCAACTGCATAAGAAAACCACATTCTGACATGAAACACGAGCACGTAAACAGGCCATAACAGCAATGACAATAACAGAGGTAAAGAAGCCGTTATGATCAGATTTATTCAGAAGAGTTGTTTTTTTATGACCGGTTCAAGGAAAGCAAAAATATTACTGCTGTTACCTGATTTTCCAGTCTAGTCCTACATGACTACTAATCATATGATATAGTGCAGCATTTCACCTCAAGTGAAATTCGGTCCTTGAAGAACAGTGCAAATTGGATGCATCCTAAACCCTAACACGTGATTGCCAGCATTTAAACTGCCTTTTTTTTTGGTTTACTTTCAAGAGTGAGTCACGTTATTACAAAGGTACACAGGGACAATGCAAAATACTACACGCTACTCCTCCCAGAGATTACTGCACTCCTAGGAGCTGTGGGAGTAAGGAACAAGCTTTCCAGCCTTGAGGTTGAAGCCAATAGTTTGGTGAACAAGACTCTTCACTCAGGTTGTGAGCATGGCCACATGGGCACAACAGCCTCCTCTCCTTTCTCAAATCCAATCTTCTTATTTTAAATAGCTTTCCAGAGACAAAAGGCCTATTCAAGCTTCACGTCTACTGAGTCGTGTATTTGAAGAAGAGGTGAAGCAACGTGGAGAGAGAAAAAAGGTCATTCAGTTCATACAGTCTGTCCTCACTCTATGTGCCGGTTCTCTCATGAGCAAAAGAGAGAGGTCACACTCTCTTTGACTGCCCCCAGCAGTGTTGCAGGCTAGTGATTCAGGGATAGATTGCCAGTGATATTTTCCCATTGTCTGCTAGAGGCCACTACTCTCTTCATCTGAACCAGCTGTCACTATCAATTGGTGTCAATACTGTTACATCGCTAGGCTGGTGGGTACCAGTGCGTGACTGGTACTGCTCATCCTCAGCGCCCTTACAAGAGTGTCAGCCCAGACCTCGCCTGAGAGACTGCTGTACATTCCCTTTTCACAACTTGACACAAGATTTAAGGTTCCTAAGTCTACTTTGCTTTTAGTAATCACCTAAACCTTGGCTTAATTGTGACAGCTCTATGTTGTGCTGGGAAAGAGGATACTGAATCAGTGTCGAAACATAACTGCTGAGTAGGAAACATTTCTTAAATCTCCGTCTTATATAAGAATTTTACTCCTAACAAAAGTGGGTCTTCTGAAATGTCTAATGTTTCTTTAACCAGTTCCTCAGGATTTGTAATACACATTTGAATAACAATACTAAACAACATTATCATTGTAAAAGTACGCTTTTAAACTGTGCACAAAGATGGAATTTACCAGAAATGACAGGGTTAAAAATTCTCACAGACCAATCGCCCCAGCCATATGACTCATGTCTAAACTTTTGGACTCACTCACTGGCTCTCCCCCTAATCTTCCTGCCACGCTTTGGCAAGATTACAAGTCCAGAGTCCTGTGCTCAACAAGATGGTTTCAGCCAAACAGCCAAGGGAGTCATTTTCAGAGAAATCACTAATCTCTTAATAGACCAATAATATTAATAACTGAATCACACTGGCAATGTGTCAAAACTGAACACATTTTTAATCACAGACAAAACCAGCAAAACAATTCCGACCCTTTTAAAAGCCACAAGAAAATGCATTGTTTTTCCAATCCTGACAACATTTACAAGATAAAGCTATGACTGACTTAATGCCATGTGATACTGCTTATTTTAGTGTTACAGCACAGATTTCACAATTCCGGTGACCACAGAGTCTATTTTAACAGGGCCTAACTCACCCTCTTTCATACAGGTGATGAAAAAAGCACATTCAACATGAAACCCATGGCCCCCAGATCTAACTACAGAAAACATAAAGCCTGGTTTCAGCTTATAAATAAAGTTCTATTCATAAGTTACACACTGTACGTACATAATCTAGTCTCACAGGCTAAAAGACCTGAAGCATTGAACAGAGAAGCCTACCAGAAGACCTGACAGATGAGACTTTAATCAAGCCAACCTAATGAACTTTTTCAGCATCAACAGTGAAACACATATCAGAGCACACAAATGGAAACTAAGAGCAACTGCATTTAAAATTGATAACGGGAGGGAGTTCTTTGCGCAAAGGGGTGGTGGGACTCATGAACAAGCTAGTTTTCAGTGGCCATAACATTGGTTTACTCTATTTCAAAGCTAATGAGCTAGCTGGGCCCCACAGCTTCACCTCTTTTGAAAGCTTTCTTAAGACCAGCTCCAGTAGGATGTTGCAAGTCTGTTTTCTGCATGTTTCACCTTATTTCCAAAGAGATGGCAGAAACATATCTCTTCCGAGTGACCGCAAGGAAGACCGACGATGGGCTGGTGAAGTTGCTTATAAGGAAATCCCCAAGAAAACCGTGTAGGAGTTTTGCAAAGTGTTTACAAAAACGAGACTAAATGTTTTGGAAGATTGCGCTTACTGTCTTCCTTTCCAAAAATATGATCAGCGCTTGGCTATTTTAAATGTTTTTTTTTGCCCTCTGCATTGTTTTATCGGCCTTTTTTAATGCCACTGAACTACAGTATATGTGCAGGATGAACTCCCAAAGGAAGGAACAGGTTTGTTTTCATTGCGTTTCACCCTGCTTCCAAAGTGATGGAGGAAATCTATCTATCTCAGTGGGATGGCTGCAAGGAAGGTTTGTGTTGGACTTTATTTTTAGCAACACGGAAATATCAGGAAAATTAAATGCAAGACAGAGCTGTTATTATAACAGAACACATTTTGCTGGTTACAATGTCTTACAGTGAAAGAAAATGCTTGAATAACTTTCTACAGCCTTCACAAAACACCTACATACCTAGGAATTTTTTAAGGTGGTCTGATATTGAAACAGTATTATTTAATAAGCTGCTGGTGATTTCTTAAGCTTTTGGATACAGAGCTACTGAAAAATATATTATAGAGCTTTATATATTAATGCTAACCTCTTCATTTAGATTAAGTCAAGAAGTAAATGAAGCAGTTTTTATATGCTATGAACACCTTTAGAAAGGGGTGCAGTTATACTGCAGTCCTACAAGTGACTTCACTTGAGAAAGAAGATAAGTGAAGCTTCCATTTACAATTTCAGTGCGTCCGCTCCAGGTAAATGTCAACTGTATAATACAGAGTACATTAATACATATAAGAGAATGGAGAAGTTAATGCAAATATTTAATGTTTTGTAACCGTGTATCCCTTAAAACTTTCCCATCTAGGGAGAACAGGGAAAAGGCTTCTTTGTATCATACAATAATGACTTGAGATCCATAATTGCAAATAACCAAAAATTAGCTTCCTTTCAATACAGTATACTTACAAACTGTATTAAAAAGTCTTTTCAGCTAACATGCATGGGAAGGAAACAATAAAAAATGGTTGTATTATATGATACTTTTACATTGTGTAAAACTTCTGGTGGTGCCACTGGCTAACGCTTATTCCTGCTGCAGAAACGTGTAAAAGGAAATGGTATTGCGCGCACAGTACCTAACACATTAACCACTAGCTTTTAGTAAGAAGCAGTATTGGCAAGGGCTGGCCAAAAAACAACAAGCAAGCTCTCGAATCACCAATGTGTTTTATAGTTAAGATGACATGATAATCTTAGACTTATCACATTCAAAAAGACTGGTATTACGCAAGAGGTAGGTCATGGCTAACACCGTCACGATAAACAAAAATGTGAACAAGGCCAATTAAAAAAAAAATTACACAAAAATCCAACATGTATTACTTGCAAATTTTAGCTAAACTGAGTACTGAATGAAATACAGGTAGTGGACAACAAACCACGGACACACTGGCTACGTGAAGGGCATGGACTTCCACACAAGGGGGAGCTCAGCCCAGAATGCTTAGGGTTACATACAGAAATCCTCAACAGTCCTAATGGGTGCCCACACTTATGGCTAGAATCGCTCCAAGGGGAGAGGCCTTAGTGACTTTGAAAGAGGTGTGCTTGTTGGGAGTCATCTGGCACAACATTGACACTCAGCTCATCTTGGAGAGGATTCACCAGCAGCAATGTGTATGGTGGTAACAGTATGGCACAGAGGGGAAAGACATCAGCAGCTATAGGGAACAGGGGGCAGAAACATCCAGGATCGTGACGTCCATACATTAATTCAAAGTGCAAGGCAAAACAGGCAACTAATTGCAGATCACTTGACTGAAAATTTCAACCTGGGGCATGGGTAGCCAGTTTAATCAAGAACTGGACGGCTGAGAACTCCAGAGAGTGGGGTACCACAGCTGGGTTGCAGTAATCAAACCGCTCATTAACCTGTCAATGAACATTTGCCACCGGTGCAAAGAGCACACCCAATGGACTACTGAGCAGTGGAGAAATGCGAAATGGTAGGATGAATCAACCCTCAGCATGTTCTCAACAAACAAATAATAATAATAATTAATAATTGCTTACACTTATATAGCGCTTTTCTGGACACTCCACTCAAAGCGCTTTACAGGTCATGGGGACTCCCCTCCACCACCACCAATGTGCAGCATCCACCTGGATGATGCGACAGCAGCCTTAGTGTGCCAGAACGCTCACCACACACCAGCTATCAGTGGGCAGGAGAGCAGAGTAATGGAGTAATGGAGCCAATTCATAGATGGGGATTATTAGTTGGCCAGGACACTGAGGTTACACCCCTACTCTTTGCAGAATGATATGGCTGCTGGCAAATGCACATGTACAGTAGCACCACCCTTAAGAACTCTACAGCACTGAGTGCTTGGTTCCAAACAGTAAAGGGTTCTGCTGTTTCTGTGATGTTGTGGGGAGCACTTTCCTGGCATGGTTTGGTGGCACTCTTTTCCACAGAAGGCAAGGTCAATGCTAAATCGCTACATAAAGATACTGAGTGATCATCTTCCCTCCGTGCTGCAGTCTGCCTTTATTGACAAGAGGAGCATCTCGCCGGATGACAATGCCACAGCCTTCTCGGTCACCAGATCTGAGCCCAGTCATTCCAGAACATCCCATAAATAATCAACGCTTAAGAAAGCCTTTTCCACCACCAGGGGTGAGGTGACTTTCTTGTGTAAGAACCGTGCCAAATCCTTCCTGCAGAATTCCAAACTCTGTGCCACAATGCACAGTGATAGCAACGGCCATTTGTAGTAGTCCAGTGCCCATCAGTGACTTTATATTGGCGTTTCCATTATTATGTCCACTACCTGCAAGGAAACCTTATTTTCTAAACAAACAAACACTCTATTTTATTTTGCTGGTGAAGAGCTGGAACTTGAACTTGGCAGGTTGCTGAAAGCAAAGTGTCACCTGAAATAGAAGTTTCTTCTAATTGTTACAAAAGTGCTTGAGAGGCTCAATTTATATTTAAAAGGAGTAGACTGAAAAAAAACACAAAAGAATACAGCAACATATGTCCCGTGCCTGTTCTGTTCAAACCTGGAACACTGTTACTTTGCTCTTCCACTTTTTATTTTTAACAGAGGAACTGCACATTTGTAACTACAATGGTCCAAAAAATGTTTATTGTTTACATCATGCTAACAAGAAATAGCAAATTGATGATGCATATCAAGTTAAATTTGTCATATACTCCCCTAAAATTAAATTTGCAGCCAAACAAGAAAAAGCCCTTTGGTCCACCGAGACATCTGCTCTTTAAAAGATCCTTTAAACCACACAGCAAAAGTGCTATTTTAAAAGTTTACCTGTGCCACATCAAAGCTGTGAGCTTCAAAGTTCTTCTGCTCAATGTTGACCTGCAAACCAAAGACACATGTATATAATCAAAACAGTGAAGAAGAGACACTTGAGTACATCTTCACAGATGAGACAAAAGCCCTTCGCAATCAAGAGTGCTGGGGAATACCCCAACACCAAGAGCATGAAGGTCAACTTTTCTGAGCTCAATCAAAACCTAGGCCTCAAACAACACACCACTGTTGGTTAAGACAATTGCTTTAAATCTATTCTGTAAATGAGATTTGCAGTAACCATTCATTCCTAAATTAGAACTGACACTACCTGACTGATCATCAGGAACTTTGATCAGAATATAAACTTTATTTCCAATATGGCACAATGTCTCATACACTATTACTGAAGTTTATTAATAGTAAAGGTTGAATCAACATCTTATTACAAATTGTTACCCCTGACAAAGCAGACTAAAACCACCTTTTCACTTTATGCCTATACATAATTGTGCATTTTGTTAAATTAATTCCTAAAATGTACTGCTTAATATTAAAAGAAAAAGAAATGTAGGGCATTTTTTCCTATGCCATATACAGTATTTACCCTGTTCAAACGTTGAAATTAAAGCACAGACCTGCTTCTTTTATTAATCACAAAATTTGAACGGTATTGCTAAAGGAAGCAAAAGTAAATAAAAAATCTGATGAAGAGAATAAATAAGGATAAATAAGTCACTAACAGCCAAGAAAAAATCGTAGAAACCCTCATGCTAAGAGTGAAAAGTGACTGAGAAGATATTTCAGAGTTTCAATTAAAAATCTTCATCTCTGAAAAAAACTAAATGCACCCGACATGAAACAAGATGACTCTTGCCCTTACAATCTTCATGAATGCATAAAACCTAAGCAGTCAATTATAACATAAATCAAGATCCTACCACCTTTAACAATGCCAAAGGGCATGGTTCACATTAAGAAACTCGTTGACTCACAAAATGGCTAGGGACATGAAACTCATGACCAATGTAATTTAAATTCTGTAACATTCATATATAAAGAATAATTACAAACAAATATCCATTGTACAGTATGTAACAAGTAACCCCAATGATCTTTATACTGTGTTTAATTACTGCATCACTATTCTAAACTCAGTATGAAGCCAGGTTTCTTCTAGAGCGAGGTGTCCTGAAATTCCTATTGTTACGCAAAAAAATAAATCAGATAGTGAAAAGATAAAGCAACAGACTGGAGTAACACAGGCATTATTTGTTTTCAAAGAGAGGACTAACTTTTTGCCACTTTTCAAATGACAAAGATATCAGTGGAGAAGACACATTAAAAACAGACAGAGATAAGAAGCTGGGAGTTCTATTATTATCTAGCCAAGAAGTAGGATAAGATTTTCTCTGAGAAGACTTAATAAACAACGGTTGCAGCTGAAAGTCTTCTCTAGCCAGACTTAACATGCTGGTTTTCGTTCAATTACATTCGTAGAAACAAGATTCGCATTTATAGTGTGAACACGCCAATAAAACTGTCTGTGGGGCTCTTTTTAAATTCTCACAGTGTCAATATACTTAAAGAATACTCCCTTTAACTTAAAGACATTTATTAACAAAGAAAGAAGAATTATTTTTCTGATGAACACATTTACTATTAACACCGCTATGGTTCTGACTAAGGATATACCTGTATAGTGGAAAATGTTTTAAAAAACAGAAGGAAATTTGTGCAAAGTCTGCCTGTAAACAGTAGCACAATTCAATACGCACGTAAATTTAAAAAAAACTAAAACAATTTAGTACATTGGTTAATGGAAATATAACTTCACAAATGGAATCCAAATGCAATTACAAATTTCACTTTGATTAAGTACCAATCCAAATGCGGGAAACATTTTTTTCATTTGTAAACCATTTTATGTAACTATCTCCAAACTCTGTTATAGATTGCCTCTGCCCAGTCTGCCAAAGACAACTAGAGCATACAGATTAGTCTCTGTAAAGATTCCTTATCAAGATTTATTATCCATCAAGACCTTTTCCTATAAAGCCCTTAAAGCAGATGTACAATCATGGCAGTTAAAAACCAGTCAGTTTGGAATAATTGATAAAATAAGCATTAACCTACATCACCTTTTTTTTTAAATTATTGTAACAAAGTGGGCATTTTAGAACTAACGCAAATGAATGTGGGGCTCATTATAGTAACAGGCTACAAAGACATCTGGAAATGGTTGTGCCTGCTGTTCTGCCATCAAAGCTACATAATGGGGCTTTGGCACAAGAGAAGACCTGAGGATCAAAAAGCCAAAGCGTTTAAGCAAAGTGAAGACAGCATGGAACCAAAATAAAATAGTAAAGATAGAAACACCATCCTGTGTCTACTGTATATCAAGGTCATATACTTTTACTCATTGGAACTGTTTTTTTAATTGTGCTTACCTGTTTCTGTTTGTGATACGTCCTCCACATCTCACTGTAGATACAGTGAAGAAACCCGCTTACATTGGCATATATCTGACGCTGAGGATATTAAGCACCGGCAGTCAATAGCTTCAAATTACTAACAACGGTGCTGCAGTACTCCCTGGAATCATAGGCTCTATCCCAGGCTGGGATCCTTTCTGGTGGAGTTTGCATGTTCGCACTATGTTCACACAGGTTTTCACTAGGTTCTCCTTTCCATCTGTCCACCAAAGCGATGGTGGTTAGATGAACTGGCACCTCTAAAATAATCCATGCTCTGCAACGCACTGTTTTTATTTGTTAATGAGTGGACGCATGGATGGAGATACAGTGCAACATTTACTGAAGTTAATTACAGGTTTTGCCCATTCCTGTCAAAGCAAGGTTAATACCTATAAAGTAGTGCTCTTACAAATGTTGACAGATCCATCAAATTTATTTCCAACATATTAGACTTAGTCTACTGAATTTAGGCCATTCCTGAAGTCCAACACTACTAATTTAACATCCAAACAAATATTCAATAGCTTTCCAGGGAATCTCTACAAATAATCACCTTAGATAAACATTCAAAGTAGGCTAACTTAGAAAAATGATACAGTTACCACAGTGCATTACTGCCGAGGAGCTGTTTCTCTGTACCTGTTACTTTTCTGCCAAGCATACAAAGTTGTGAGCCTCCTAAATCTGGTGTCAGTGTTACAATACAACTGAACACACAAATGCATGGGCAACTGGGACAGCTGCTGACCTCTAAGATTTAATGTCCGTGACTTGGCTCGGATTGCGCCGTATGAAATGTAGCTTCCCATTTAATCCCGGACAGTAAACTTTGTTTTTCGTCTTGTGTTTTCTCGTGTGTAGTGTTCCGTAAAGGCTGTTTTTTTGTTTTGCTTCACTTGCTTGTTTTTGAGAACTACAGTGTGTAGGGTCTGAGATCATGATTTTCCTACAACTGACTTTTCTGCTGGCATCCAGTCAGAATTCTCTAATCAAATTAAACACGAGGAGGAATCCCACAGAAAAACAAAGAAACAGTTTATAATACGTGAACATGCCCTCCCTTTCCAAAACAGAGGGAACATGCACAGTACTTACTGCAACTTAGCACAGCTGCTAAAAAGCCAGGAAGGTCTTCCAAGTGTTTATTTTGCTCTCTTGCAAGATGTGATGTGCATTTCCCTCAGTGTAATTCTCCTTTCCCCAGAACTAGACTGATCGAGCACAGCCTCCCCCAGCTTCTCCACTTTCTCTGCTAGAGCACCAAACTGTTTCTTCTTTTTATTTTTGGAATGCTTTTTTTTTAACCAAAACATTCCACACCACCAACAGGCTGTCCTTGAAATCCTGGTTAAAAACCCTGGTTCAAGGATGAGAATAACAAGACAGGAGATAACATAAACATATCTGCTTCCAGTCAGAGGTTTTCCCAATTTATGCCTCACTGCTTTTTAATGCTACCTGCAGGTTTTCTTTCAATTGCTGAAATATTTGAATCTTTTTGATCGTTCACTGGATGATTGGTCGTTGCTACGCAGAAAACCTAAATTGCCAAAGCCACAAACAAGGTAGCAAGCAACTGTTTCCAAAGAGTGGGAGAGAAATAGAATGACATTTTCTAACAGCAAATGATTCACACTGACTACTCCACTCAGATCCTTGTGAGAAGAAACTTAACTTTTAGTTTTGTGTTAGAATCGCAAGATGTAACACCAAATAAAAACCTCACAGATGGATTTAACCCATGTCGTGTTGAAAACGAAAAAACGCTGACCAGGAGTACTTAAAATTGGTTCTCTGCAGGTGCAAAGCGGTGTTCATTTTTACATTAAGGATTCATCCGTTACTCATGTCGCTGACAGCATGAATGCAGGCAGTCACAACACCACGTAATCATCAGCACTGAAGGTAGCAATATGGCCCCTGCATATCATCCCTTCACACCTTGGCCATATAAAAATAGGCCAGGCAATTTCAGTAGAGACAGCCTGCAGTAATAACCTATAGTTCAGCATTTTAATGCAGTGCAATGTATTTAAGTTGCACTTCCCATGAGCAGATATGTTTTCCCGCTGTGAACAGTATAATTCATCTAAATTAATCCCATATTTATCAAACCGTAGAGGTATTAAACTGAAGACAAGCTCTCCTTTACTACAGGGATTTAGGCACTACTTTGCTACCGAACGCTGACTGTATCAACCATGTTAGCTACAAGGCAAGAAAGCTATACACTTTAAAACCAGGTGACACACACTTGTAACCTAGTACAGTGGAGGTGGATATTTAATGCAAACACAGGGCATTTTCACTGCTAGTCTGCACATAAATGAGCAGTGGTGGATACGTAAGTCTTCCTTGAACGCTACACTACGTTTCTTGTTGAAGTGGATCATCATTAAAATCTGCAGCAGAACAAAAAAAACAAAAGAGTAAAGGGTTCATTTCACGAAGTTAATGAAATTAGGTGACGCATTCATAAAACAACGATAAAAGTATAAAACAGTACTATTACGGGCCATGAGCAGGTTAGGCAATGCTGCTCTCAAACAGAAAGCTGTGGGGCCAGCCTCAGTTTGTGTGGGTCTTCGTGTTTCTCACTTCAGCGTGACTCTAAACATTAGTCCACAAAAAGCTAAGCAATGCAGATCTTACAGCTGTCACCAACCTACGGAAGGAAAAAGAACTCAAAAGTTTCAGTGCTGCGTAGAGACTGTGCAGATTCATTGTGACTGTCCATCCCACGCCAAAATTAAAAAAAAAACTGTAAATTTTCCTTTTTTGAGTTATAGTTCAGTTTTACAACTAGAAAATGAAATTCAACTGCATTCTATCAGTTTGTTTGTAGCAGTTTCACCAGAAAGGATCATTTGGCGACATGTATACATATGTAGTGATTCAACTTTAAGGGCTCCATTTTATTTTGTTTTGTACAATTCAGTAAATCCGAACTTATTTTACATTTAAAAAAAAGTTTGAAAAAAAAACATGTACAGCTACAGTACTTGTTACCTGATATCACTGCATAAAAGAAGAAAATTATTTTTAATTCCTGCTCTATCTCCTCTGAGGAAACGAATAAAATAGGATTTTTTATATCTCTACCACATTAACCAATCAATGCATCCGCTTTCAGAAAATGTAATAAAACTCTTCCTCTATAAATGCAGTGGAAACACGTAAAAGCAGAACTTCCTCGACATTAGTATATATGTGGTTTAGGTTTTTTATAGTTAACCTAATTTTTCACTGCCTTTCAAAGAACTCAAAAGAGGCACAGGCAACTGTCAGCATAACTATAGATTGTCTCCAGCTACAACAAACTTATTTTGCTTTAAGTACATAACACATTGATTCCAAATCCCAATGCCCAGTGGAGCTCAATTGCTGTGTTTAATAAGTGTTCTCAGTCATCCAGTGCTAAAATGGATTCAAATACTCCCCCACAAAAAGAAAAGTTTAACATAGGAGATGACAGGAAAGAGTCGTTAAGAGTTCACACAGCCTTCCACCACCTCCAATATGACACAGAGTGACACACTAAGTCTTTAAAAAATGACAGTAAAAGCCGCGATACTTTTCATGGTGTTCACATTAAAGCCCCATCTGGAAACGAGACAAGTTTAAAAAGTACAAAAATCGAACAGCCACTGTTAGATGCAAACAAAATACATAACATTTCTAAACCTTAGCACTGTGGCTGTAACCTTAGCACTAGTTCATGCTGTAATCATTCTTGAATAAGATTAATTTATTACACAAAGCAAGCATTTAAAAGTGCTAAATAAGCAAAATAGCCTCATTTATTGTTATTCTCAAATTTGATTTCTCATATTTTTAGCTTTTTTTATATGCCGATTGTCTATAAGGGGGGTTTTCTCTGGTTTTCAGGACTTGATTTTCTCAAGGCAAAGTGATATGTCCAGGCTTTGCTAATTCTGGAGTGATTCCCATGCAGTGAACACAAAGCAAAACTGTTTGGATGATGACAGCCCAATGTCTCTGTTCTTCAAACAGGAGGCACACCACAGCGCGACTTTAATTGTTTCAGGCAGTAAACTAGTTCACATGTGCTGTTCTGCTCAGACTTGGCAAAGTAATTCTGCAAAGAGATAACCATCTCTGAAACCAGCATCATTCTGTGCTACAAACCGCACTTTCTCCATCTGCACTAAGAAGTTGGACACCTGTCAAACAGTGTCACAAAGCTTTAAACTCTGCCTCAGCTGCTCCAGGAGGAATGACAAGAAGGGTAAATTTGAAGCTGCTGCCCCAGAAACATTTTAGGATGACATTTAAACTTGCCAGATTGCAACAAATGCAGCACGTCAAAAGGTGTATGCTGCAAAACCACATAAACAATTTCCTGTAAATCGACTGAAAAAGGAAGAGGAAAGGCAGCATTTTTTTTTAAACTCGTGTCAGGACAAAGACAGAAAAAACAGTATATTGTGCTCATTTGTGGATTTTCTTAATTGATTTACACATGAACTGCTCAATCAGGCATCTTTTAAGAAGGTAAAAGCACTAATCTTTATCACTTGGACAGAAAAGATCTTGTTTGCCATTTGATTTCTGTGCCATTTGAAAGATACATATCTGTGGTATCATATTATGAAATGTTTATCATGAGTACAAAAGCTGATTTGTTTCAAAATGAGTCTAATAACCGTGGACACTGGAGGATTTTCTTTGTTCACTATGCTTTAGAGCAGAAGGCGGAGAGAAGGGATCTCATCTGACAGAAGGAGACCAGTAGGGTCCAGTGTTTTCCACTGCTTGTCAAAGACATTATAGGATTTTACCTCAGACAGAAGTTGACCCATCACAGCTACTTGTGTAGCTGCCTTTTCTACCCCGACTGCCTGTGTCTATTGATAGTGGAATCTATTAATCCTACTATCAAATATCTAAAAATATAGTAATTAACAAACCTACATTAATAGTCATCCTGAAGCGAGTAATGCAGAACAAAGATTCTTTTGGTTTGAATTAAGATATGAATCGATTGCTTAGTTATAAAGGGCTATGTGTTTATTAAAGCCTAAATAATAAAACGGTAAAAGAACATGTACTGTCTAGATAATAAGGCTCCCCTTCTGTAACCACAGAACATTTGTTTCCCTAGTGAAGCATCTAAAACCACAGATTCAATGACAAGACACAGCAGTTTCTTTGAAACATTATCCATTCAAATTCAGAAACACACTCATATATATATATATCCATTTTTCAAAAGCAACAGTGACTGTATTATTTATGGATGCTCAAGTAAAAACAATAAGAAACAAGGAGTAATTCCACAGAATGATAAAAATAAAGTTAATGCACAGTTATGTTCGTAAAAAAAACCTGCATTTCACTGGTAGTGAATAACAGCCCAAATCACACCTGGCTTGTCTACACAGAAACTGAGAACATCACACCCATTTGTAAAACACAACTGCGCTCAACTGAGTCACAGGCAAGGCAGCATGTAACAATTAACCACAAAGTGCTCTCCCCAATCACAGATATCACAATTGTCATGAAGGAAATGATGCACAAGTCACTGAGATCACTACATCATGTACATGTGCTCTTAACAAGATCGAGGGCTGTGCTCATTTCCAGCAACGTCTCAATGGTTCCCTGTGTTCACAAATTACTACTTCATTTAACTAGAAACAAATTCCCTAGAAACAAAATACCTTGAAAAAAGGTGGCGTGCTTTTTTCAGTTTTTGTGGTCTTAGAACAAGCAATGTATGCTTTTCTAACAACTAAAGCAGTTGAAATTAGCTTTCACCCGAGACCTCTTCTTAACAGATAAGGTCTTTGGCTAAGATGTCAATTTACAGTGGTGAATGGCAGATTCTTTTGTGTGACGAGAGCTATGCTAAAATGTTTAAGAGAGTGCCCTTTCTTAGTGATCTATATCATAATACCTTTTATGAGTGTACAACAAAGCACTGTGATGTATAACCGAATACTTAAACCTGCTAGAATTGTGAGAAAAACAGTATTTAATTCCATGTTCTGGAAATTTGTAACAAATGAAGCCACTATCCCTTAAAAGCATAGAAGCCACCAATTGTGTTGATAATTGCCACAAGACATAGAGAACCTTTACAATAAAAGCAGCCTACCTTATCTCAAGTCCACACACTCTGCTACTGAGCTGCAGCCTTGGGTCAAAGCATCAGCTTGTGACATTATCAAGAGCACCGTCATGCCGAGTTAAGACACAAAAATAAAAAGAGGTTCTTCTTAGTCATTTTTATCCAGAAACCCATGAACAAAACTGAATATTACATGAAGTCAAAAAGAACTGAAATCAAGGTACTGAGCAGTCTCTTGGAACCCTTCACAAGAATAAACCTAAGAAGACACAAAACACACAGGGCGCTGGCAAGACTGCGGTGGTTTCCTTCACAACTTCTCAGCCTCACCAGAACAATGTTAACCTAACCTAATCGCAGCGAAAAGCTGAGTGTAAATTTCCTTTTTGCACTTCTTATACATTTTCTTAAAGCAATGAGTGAACAAGGAAACTGTTCACCACATCCTCAGACAAGCACCAGCACAGCAGAGCCTTAGGCAAAAAGCCTCCTGCAAATTAAACAAGACCCCATAGCTATATCTTACGCACCATCTGCAATGTGCGCTCAAAATACATAGGAGCAAGAGATGTATGGGGGAATGTACTAAATAAGAAAGCTGCTTGTGTGAAAACTGATTCTCACCGTCACTCAACAGTTTCCTCCTCGGTGCCAATGAAAAGGCACTAAATAACAAAACTGCCCATCTTTACTGGACAATTGGAAACACCAAAACCACACTGTATGAACTGAACTGACTGAAATCACAGCACCGCTCTTCTGATAAAATGGCAGTGCTTTGTGCTTCCTGGGACCACCCCTCTCGTTCCTGTTTATGTAGATCGATTCTCCATTTATTCAGAGGAGGCCAAAAACATTCTGATTGATCTACTTCTAGATAAATTCAAGCTCACTTTGGATAAACTCCCAGTTAACAGGACACGGACACTAGCCTATTCTGAGGGAGACTGCAACCCAAGAAAAGCTGAATGACATTCCTAAAAGTTTACGGCACACAATGTTAAGGCTACAAATGTTTTAAGCTCACATTTAGGACACAGAACCAAAAATGTCCTTCTTGACAATGAGGGCCAGAGACACTCAAAATGTTGAACAAACTGTGTTAACAGTAGCCTCAAGTTGTCAATCAGACTCTCAGGAATAACCACAGAGAGGTTATTTCAAAGAACAATACGTGCAGCATTAATTGTTATACTGCATAATTTGGTCTACAATCCACGACAGAAAAATACATTTAAAATATTTGAAAATGAAAAGACGGTCATGATACTGCAGCCTGAGAAAAAGATTTACACTGACAAAGGGGGAGGAAATGCTCCAAAGAATTGTGTAATGGGAAATCAAGATGGGAATTCAAGAACATGCTTTTAATATAAAGGTCATGCACTGACAAATCTCATGACAGTGACAGTCCCCCCCATATTCTAATTACTGGCCCATATGCGCCCTGCTTCAATTTGTGTGAACTAAGACATCCTTTTCCTCCTCTGGAATTTCCTCAGCTCCGACATCTCATTCTGACTGTGTTGTTTCTTTGTCCCTTTTTCACATGAGGACACAAACCGCACAAGCACACATGCCAGAGCACAGTAAGGTCATGGGATAAACGCAGGAGAGCTTGGAGACTAGAGACCAAGCTGAATTAACTGTTAGCTGGTAAAAAAAAACAAGGCAGCAGAGGACATTTTTTTTTAAAGTTTTAAAACAGTTTATATGTGAGGTCTTGAAGAACATACTGTATGTGTTGAGGAAAAATAATATCAGATTTTTTCATTGCTTAGCTACACTAGTTTCAATAGAAAGATAAACCCTTCTTGAAATTGCATGCAAAGCCAAAAACTAAGTTCCATGGTAATTTACGCAAGTACTTTGCCATCGGATAAGATAAGGTTAGAAAGCTTCTTATGCTCTGAGAAAATATAACATTATAAAGTGAATGGGCAAATATAACAATTCATTTATTAATATAATCAATCCATAGACGTACCATATTTCAATGTGCAAGTGCTCAAGTATTATTCAAGGAGAAACTTGCAAAAAGCTCAGGGTTGGTGGTAAATCATTTTAGACTATATACTCCAAAAATCTCTATTAATGTGAGTGGGTGAAACAGGTAAATTATTTTTCATGACCCTGCATTTGCTCTAAAATCCAGATTTACATCCTAGTCATCTCGCTGTGTATAATAAGACTACATGCCTGATGGTAACTAAAAAAAGAATAATAAATGACAAGCAGATTTTTTATGTCAAGCAAGATTTCCACCAAGATGTGCAGATTTTATGACGTTATCAAGAGTAATATTCTTAATTTATGCTGTATACCTTTTAAACAGTCTTTCAGGCTCCCAAGTAGTCTAACCAATAAAATGAGTCATTCTGAGAGCAGTCTAGGCAGTCTAAGTCCAGATATCACCAGTTCAGGTCCAGGCTATGCCACTGCCCAGCTGTGACTGTGATGTCATATCCAACAGCTGACAACTAGCAAAGCACAGCCTGAGCCGAGAGGTCTTAGATGAAGGGTTTATTACCACAGAACTGCAACACCTCTGAATTGCTAGCCACACATCTACTTGCAGTGGAGTCAGTGAAACCTGCTTCACTCCTCCAATCAATGCCAAATTGTTGAAGGCTCTGGGATACTGCCATATAAAATCCCAATGCTACATTAGACAGGGCTCATTTTTATTAAGGAATTACAGTCAGGAAAATTCTTCCTGTCGAGAAAGCTACAGTATTAAAGCCAAGACTAGCTATAGCCTATCTGATCAATTCAAACATAGCTGACAACTCATCATACCCTGGTTTCATTAAACCATCTCACAGAGAATGGGGTCTGGGCTAAACCTCCACTGGAAATGAACAAGGGCAACCAGCCCTTATTATCACTGCCATGTTTCGCCACAGCTCCTGAATCAGCAGTGATTCATCATCTCACTGAGTACCAGGCACCTCCACCTGGGGAAACCTGCCAGGAAAGAAGGAATTCACCTAAAAAATTAAAACCTAAACGAGCACAAACTTCCATATAATTTGAACCGACATGAACCTGGTACAGATTACATTTCCTTAGAATACATATTCTTTAGTGCACACACATTAACCTCTGAACACATCCATTTCAATACCATGTGCGTCAGCAGTTCCAGAGTACATGCATCAGTACCCTGATAACAAATTTGCTCTAAATAATTGCCTAAAACTTTACTGTCATGATTGGCTCATTCAGTAATTTCACAGATAAGCATAAACTCAAAAGAGGTGAATTCAACCTCACTGCAGCAAAGCACTTTTGAATGAACATCTTCACAAAATAAAACCTTGACATACTGGGACAGGGACAGTACAGGGACAGCACTGGGTGAAATTAAAAAGGTCAGCCCGAGGGATCTGGGATCCTGAAAGCCACTGAAAAGGTCCACACAATACTTGGTCTTCAAAAAATAAGGAATTTCCTGGGACCACCCCTCTCAATTACTACTGAAGCCAAATGTTTTTCAATTATATTCAGTTTTGTTTTTAAAAAAGCAAGCTTCTGCAAAGGTAGCTTTGGTTTGTTGTCAATATTTGTGTGGGTCTTAGTTAAAAAAATATTTAAAAGTATAAAAAAAACATAGTGGGAAATTCAGAGGATGAATCAGATTGGCTAGGCTACAGTGGCGTGGTTTCCATCAGCTATTAACACTGCAAAGGTTAAGGAGTTAGCACTTGATGCCTGCAGATCACAGGTCATTTCAGTGTTATGTGCTGGGGAGGTCTCAGTTTCCAGGTTTCTCCTGCCAAACCTCTTCATGTACTATTGACAACTGTCTTTCAGATGCAGCCAAACTGGGATTTTCTGATAAACACTAACATCCTCTGTGGATTACAGTATGAAGGTACTGCTAATCCAGTTCTTGACACTGTTTTCAAATGAAAGAAAAGAGTATAGAATCATGGTGAATTTGCATTCCAGGTTTCCTTTTTTCTAAACCTTTCATCAGCAAGCTACTTTGATTTGGGCAGATATCAGCATTAGTCTGTTTTTTTTCCAGAGGTATGTATGCTTTATGGCATCTACAAAGAAAACATTTAATCTTTTTTCATTTGACATCAGATTTTTAATATTGTTATGATTTTGACATACAGCCCTGAAGCCAGGACTAAATATCAGCTTTGAAGCTCCATCTCAATTATTGCTTCATTAACAACCAATCTGGGTTGCAAGCTGTGAACCTTTTGAGGAAACTTCACTGATCTCTTTTTATGGGCCTTAAGAAGTACTAGAATCACAAAACTCTTTGATTTTGCTTATGAGGACTAAATTAAAGGCTTCAGGTGATAAAAGTGTAAGGCTGCATTTGAAGTGCAACCTCAAATATGTTCAAAAATAAGGCATGATTACTGCTAAATGGTCATTAAGGAACATAGGCCAATTCATAATTGAATGATTCTATTCAGGATTTCTTCTTTCCCTGCATGAAAACGTGCTCCCAATACTGTAACAGATGGAAGGAAAGCGACTGAAGAATTAAGGAATTTATAACTCAAATAACTCTAAATGTGATTGAATTCTTTAGTGAGAGAGCAGCGATTATCAACTACCCCGGCAGAGAGAGGCGAGTGCATTATCCCGTTTGTTATTATTCCACTGGTGACAAGCAAAACAGCTCCTTCAATATGAAACAACAACAAAATAATGAATATACTGTATCTGTATAATTACAAAGGCAAGAATCCGAGCCTACCACTACAAAATAAAAAAACTACAACATATCTTGGAAGCATCTGGACCTAATGCACCAGACATAACTCTCATACACTGGTGACTCACAAGCTGAAGGGACAGACAAATCAAATGTTTTGCCTTCCACATTACTGCAGGTCTAACCTGGTTTCACAGCCCCAAACCCCTCCTCTCTCTGTGCAAAATTGTGGCCTGGTTCACTTGTGGCAGTCAAAACACCAGATAATCTTTCTCCCAGACAGATCCTCATCGCAGGCAGACACTGTGTATCAAAAAAGGGATTAGAATATGGATCCCTACTACTAGAGCTGCGGCACAAAATGCAGTTCCCTTTCCCATTTAACTACACACGATGTGCTGAAACTTGTACGAGACAGGCAGCCTGGGCAAGGCATTCCAACAGTGATATCATGTAGCATAAATGCAAAAAAATGTTTCAAAGCAGTTTCATTGAAAGGAAATGAGTCTTTTAAAACATCTGCACCTGTTCTGTGGTAAGGACACTCCAGGC